TCAATTATAACTGACTCATTGGTTAGAAGAAACGAAAAGGGATACGATTTCATTCTGGAAAGGGACGAAATCGAGGGTTCACCTGATTTCTAGGTAATCGAACAAGCAAGTGGTATGTGCCTCCAGATGGAAATCCTTCACATTGAGGATCACCCTTTGCTTGTGCGGCGCCTCGATCACCCAACTGCATTGCTGTTTCCCCGGATATTTCCTCGGATAATTTGGCGACTGGACGACGCCTGTCGTCTTAATGAAATGACCGCCGCACACTTTGCTGGCGTCGATGAAGAGATACGTCGCGGTGAATCCCTCGCGGGTTATCGTCGAGTCAGAATGGAACACCAACGTCAATTCGTTCCCTTGCGTCATCACTACCGGCGGTTTCTTGAAACCGCAGAACCTGTGAAATTCAACGACTCGATCATCTGTAATTCCAAATAAGTTTAATCGTCGGATAAAGAGGAAAATTTGCACGTACGTTCCGATCTCCTCCCTGTTGTACGACATGAAGTTCTCGTACACCTTGACATAGTCGTGCCGGCAACGAATATTCCTTTCCAGATCGAACAACAGCCAGCTGAGCTGCACGATGTATCCTATCGGGGCTTGTATCGTCCAGATGCACGTCTCGTCGTTCAGATATTTGCCTTCGTCGGTCGGTGTCTGAATCGTTCCGCTGGCCTCCGTGTACAGTCCACCGCATCCTTTCAAATAAATCACGCCAGATTATTCTCGAGTCGAATTTCGAAACGTGGGATTTGAAACCGTTATGTACGTACGGAGTAACATCTAACCGTTAGATTACGGGTTTCTGTAAGATTTGAGAGCGTCGAAACGCGTAGGATGCAAAAAAAAAAAAAAAAAATATCCAAACTATGTTTCTTTAGATTCGAGTGAATCTGTTCTCTGTAGGTTATTTTCCTTGGTTTGTCATTGAATCAGTTCTTAATGACAGGACTATTGAGAAGACAATTTCAATCGAAAGATGCAAACGAAGCGTGTAAAAATTTAGGAAAAAGGAAAAATTGAATTCTCCAAAAGAGAATTGCTGTTCATTCACTGGATTGTGTAATCCACGTATCGAATTTGTTTCTTTCATTATTACTTTCTTTTGTCTTCTCTTCCACTTTTCGTCGTTGCATACTTACTGCTCTGAATAGTCGTGTAATTCGCCCGGAAGCCACGTCCTCCCATCGAGTAATACTTGAGCAACATGACATTGTGCGTGGAGTAGTAGCTCATGCTATCGGTGGAAATGCCGCAAAGACGTGCGAGACGCGTGGCGTTCACGTTTGTGCCGTCGTACAGGTCAAGATAATTATACCCGTTTACACAATTGTTCCGTTTCTTAGACGACTTAGGGATGTCGATGTCGAGCACGTTCAACACGATTCTTTTGTCCGGCGGTTGCTTGATCTCGTAGTCGCAATTCTCGAAAAGAACGATCGGGGCCGGATAGCTGGGCGATTCGATAATTCCTGACTCGCTGGTGAATACTTGGCCGCACGTCGTTCTGTACGAGAGCGTGAAACTACCGTACATTTTCGCCTTGAAGACGATGAGCAACACGTTCGTGTTCGATCTGATTTTGGTGGGAATCATGGAACCGCATAGTCGTTGGAGCAACGATGATTCGCTGGTATCTCCGTCGTAAATCTGGCGGAAAATACTGTCTGTAGAAATTGGTTCGTTCTTGCACCATGAAAATTACACAGATTTTCAGAACACGATGCAGATTATTAAAAAAAAAAAAAAAAAGATACATTCTTTTTGATTTTCGATTGGAAATTTGTCAGTAGTAATTTAGATACATCTGGCGTAAAATACGTTTTGATGTAAAAATTTGAAAATTTCAAAGTACAATAGTTAAACGACGAGCTATGCAAGAACTTGTTTTACAAAACGGAACGATCAAGAATTCCATTTTCGAGTCGCTGAAAATTATTCTCACGAGCACCGTTCCTCGCCTGAAATAAGCCTAATTCGAGATTTTCAGACAGATTGTTTCGGCCAGAATTTCATTTTGGAGTTCGAAACTGGAAATACCTCGAGCTGTTGCATCCGACAGTCGGTAGACATGAGCTCGAACTTCGGCCAAGTGATCTCTATCCGTTTGCCAACAGGCATTAGGATTTTCCATTCACATTCTAACTCTTGGGTAGACAGTGTAATCGCGGGGCTGTTAATGGTGCCAGTTGGAGCGGTGTACACGTCGTTGCAACCCGGAACACCTGAAGGAATGATTTATAATTCCTTGATCGTTCGAAACAGACGAAAATGCGAATTTATTCATTTATAAGGTGGAATTTCAGTCACCTTCGACGACGGAGTAGTGGATTTGGAAGCCAGCGTCTTGCCCGGCGCTGTCAGAGTGGAAATAAATTATAGCTTCGGAAGCCGGCACGACCAGAGGCGGTGGGTGAGTGTGATTGCAGTAAAGACCCAGTCGTTCGTTGTGTATGGTGGTGATCTGGGAAGAATCACGATAAATGCCGGATCATTGAGTCAAGACCATTTTTAACTTTTGATAAATTAATTAAATTTTGGTAAAATTGAAATGCTTGTGAATGAATAAATAATAGGATGTCGTATATAGCTTAAACATGTAACTTATTCAATCTTTTGAAATTTTATTCGGTGCTCAGTAAGAGCTTATCAAAAATCGAGAAGTCCGGTGCCGATCGTGGAAAACATAACAAATCAGTAATGTTTCTTTAGACTTTGGACGTTGTGTAATTATTTTAAACACGTAGATTGTTCGTATAATTAGTTAGCCGAAATATTGAAAAAGTTCGACCGAATACTGTACTCGAACGTCGTGAGTGAATGGCTGCTTTACCTCGAGGAAGTCAGCCTCGCAGGTTGAATGTTCTTCGAGCATCAGTTGACCAAAATGGATCTGTATCCTCTTCGAGGGTCTAACGGTAATCTGCCAATAACAATCTCTGTTCGGCGGATACCTTCCTGGTGATCCAGGCGAGCTGATCGTACCATAATCGTTCGTCAAAGTGCCTCCGCAAACCGGCTTGATACTGTCCCAATGAAACGCGAACCCGTCGTGGGATATGCTGTTATCAGAGTGGAACCAGAAGTACAGGGAGTTGTGCGAGGACACGATATTTCCGTTCCCGTGTGGCGATGTGTTGCCGCAAAATCTGCCGATCATCTGACTACCGGCATTTCTGCCGTCGTGTATCTGAAACGCGTCAAAATATATTAAAACACACGAGAGAACTACGTATCTCAGTTTCTTCCGGTTATGTCAAAATCATGTAAAACATACATCACTGGAAGCATTCTTAAAAAGTTATAACAAACATATAAATAACGACGAATGTTTTTTTTTCAACGATGCAATATTTCACGTCTAACAGAACATAATCATTCCCAGTTTCAACTTTAAATGTAATCAATTAAATTCCAATGCTTCAAGTATTAAAAGTAAGATATACATTCACTTAAGAATCGTTGTTCCTTTCGAAGGAGGATTTAATGTATTTGAGAGTTTCAAGATCGGTGGACGCGATACCTGTAAAAAGTCGTATTTGCAGTCGGTCGACTGTTCGAGATTGAAACGGTCGAACGTGACGTTCAACACGAGCGAGCTGTTGGTGATTAGGACCCAGGCGCAGCTCAGTCCGTGCTGATAAACGTTGCCACCGATCGGGAACTCGAGGTGTCCCACGGGATTACGGGACACGCCGCCGCAGGTTTGCCGGGCTGTTTCGCATCTGTTGCCGGTGTACGACGACGGACAGTCGCAGGTCGCCGCGCCGTTCGACTTCACACAGACACCGTTGTTTTTGCACGGATTCGGTGTACATGGATCCTTCACGCTACACGTGTCCCCCGACGAGATTGGGAATGACACCAGTCGTTGGCTAGTTGTGCCGGTGTAACCAGCGTGGCACACGCAACTAGGAATGCTTCCCAAGATCAAACAGTCTCCGTGGCCGCACGGATTAGTAGCGCAAGGTGTATTAACATGGTCGGTGGACGGTTGACAACCGTTTGGACCGAGTCCATCACCCACCATGCCAGCTGGACAACGACAGATCACGTAGGCGCTCGTGAGAGCCGGATTCTCCACGCACGTGGCAAATGGATGACAGCCGCCGTTGTTGACGGCGCAGCTACCAACGTAGACGCAGGTGACACCGTTGCCACTGTACCCCTTTGGACAGGGGCCGCACATTCTCGAACCCTGTTTGGCAATCATTTCATGTTCTAATTTTGGATTTCATATCTCCAACAACGAACATTGTTAGAAACAATTTTTCGTGTATAAGAACATTAAATGTTACAGTTACTCGCTTTTTTCAAAATTGATCTGGTCTAGTCTAAATCTATCAATACGAATACGTGCCAATCTTTTCTACGTATGTTTTATTTTGTTGAGAAATTGGTGTGCCACACTTATATTTATTAGAAACCAAATCTCGGTCAATTCTTGCGACTGTAACACTAAATGTGACTTGATTCGTGTTATGAATGTGTTATACAAAGACGATTATAGTTATTGTGAAATTAATATGTACAATATTGCCAGATTGAGTCATATTGATATTTCATTGAATTACCATGGTATTGATGCATTGAACTCTGGGGAAGGTGCTGCAACCTCCGTTGTCCAACAGACACTCGTCGATGTCGGTGCAGTAATAACCATTGCCTGAGTAGCCTTGAGGGCAAGCGTCGCAGAAGAACGTTCCCGGTGCATTTCGGCAAGCAACCCAAGGATTCACGGAACACGGCCTGTGGTTTCCGGCGCATTCGTCCACGTCTTTGACGCAAGCTGGATTAGCGCCCTCGGATTGCCAACCCTGATACATAAAGCTTGAATTGCACAGTGGAAACTACGAGGAAATTACGATGTTACGAAATTAAGCGTCTCGCCGTATATACTTGGTCGCAAATGCAAGTGTAACCGAGCGGTGAACCAGGTTTACTGACGCAGACACCGTGACCGCAGAGTTCGTTGGAATTCTGCGTGTTGCAAATGGGAGTTTTCTTCGTGCAATGGAGACCGAACCATCCTGCTGTACAGTCACACCTGAAAATAAAATTATTAAATATGTAATGCAGTGAAACAATCATTTAACTATAAGTTAATTGCTGCGTGAAACCTAAATGTTTTCAGACGGGACACTTTTCTGGCCACTTACACAGTTCCTTTCATTTTATAACGTATACTATCTAGTTATTTCTGTTGTTAACTTTTTTTTGTACAAATATAAAATTCCATAAACATTTGCAGTCTACTTGCGAGAGACACTGATTAAGAACCTGTACGATCCTTGAAGATTATGACAGGTAGCTCCATTTTGGCATCCAAGATCCGTTCCTAACAGCCGAACACACTCGTTTACGTCCATCACGCAATTTGGACCCTGTAATATCGCCGTAAATAAATATTTACGGATAAGACAGATGAGATAGTTAACTGTATTAATATTTTATAATTCACCTCCCAGTTTAACGGACAATGACACTGATATCCTTCGTAAAGATCCTGACACGTTCCACCATTCTGACAAGGATTGCTGCTGCACTCGTTTATCCTTAATTTCGATTCTATCGACTTTACTTTTTCTTCCACTCGTCGTACCTAGAAATACCTCAATAATTATCTAAATATTCGCTGTTAACCTTTAACTGGTGTTACTGTATATTGGAAATCATAATAATTTAATCTTGCGTTATTTAGTTCTGGAATTTTCAATTTGACTTAATCCCTGTCACAAAGAACTGATGATGCAAACAAATCATACAAATATTTAAGCAGAACTTTTGTACATACTCGATGAACCATCATTCGAATCTTCAAGCTCATTCCTGACTTAGACTGCAAACGATTAATTGAATTAAATATCAACTATTAAATGTCCCTTAAATTCAACGAAATGATTCCTTGTATCTTAAACGATACTTACCTGATTCGTCGACGAAATATCCGGTTGTAACGTGCTATTCCCTTCTCCGAATCCTCTTAACGCGGCTATTTTTTTCTCCAAACCTTCCGGACCCTCCACGAGTTGCATCAATCGTTGCAAATTCGATTCCACTTCGGCCAGGTATCCGGTTTTCCATCTTTCAATCAAACGCGTCGCGCTTTCCGCCTAAAAAAAAAAAGAAGAAACGAATTGCCTCGTCAACGAGTACTTAATTCTCAAAAAAAAAAAAAAAAAAAAAGAAAAAAAGAAAAAAAAAGATTCTCTCCATACGGAATTCGCGACGTGAAGTAAATTAATTTCGTTCACGTTCAGGTAGCCTTTCCCCAAGATTTTCAGGGTGATGTTCTTGTCCTTCGCAGCGGAAATGAACAGATTTCCGTCCCGCGACTCCAACACAGGCCTGGAACGCGTTAAAAATTACGTTTATGCAACGTCTGCACGGGCAGGAAAGTTTCTTTCTCTCTCGGTGAGAGATCGGATCTTCCGGAAATTGCGTTCGCCAGACCTTTCGTCCATCCATGCCGCGCAAAATCCCAGCCAAGTCAACAATAACCATTGCGATCTCGTAGCCATGTCGCCACGATGCCTCGAAACGTGCTCGGTCGAATTTTTATTGTAGCATCACCTGCCGGATGTTACGCTCGATATCTTTCTCGTTTCGAAGTTTGTCGAGGACTGCATCGAATGATCAGAAACGAGGCATATCTTCGAGTAAAAAGTGGGCGTATTTCGTGGACACTTATCGATATCCACCCAGTATCGGTTACATTCGGTTCATTGTGATACGAGTAACTTGGTTCTTCCTTTTCTTCCTTGCCTTTTTTTTTTT